ATTTACTTGAATTTCATGCTGTATTAATATTTTCTTTTAGTTTTCTTATATTTCGGGTTAAGTATGTATAGTAATTTAATGTTCAAAAATCATATACAATATTTTTATATGAATTGACTTAGTAATCTTAAGATTGACTCATTTTCATTTGTAAAAAGCCATATTAGCTTCTCATTAATGTTCATAATAAAAAGAATAAACCAAGTGGTGTGCAAATATTGCAAATATATTATAAGATGAAGGTCTTTTGATGGTTACCAGTCTACAAAAGACAAGGGACTCGATAGGAAATTCATGAATTCTAGTCAAATATATAACATGAATAAATAGAGGATATTTAATGTTTTGTAGTTGAATATGGAATTTATTTCACGAGTGGGACAGGATTTTTGATATTTTCACGAGTGCGAAGCCTTATAAACATTGAATTTTCTATTTTATTATACATTTTTAAAAACAAAATTCTTTGATTTTTCTTCTGCATCTGTCTTTTTGTAATACAGTCATAGGCTCGCGACGTCAGACGTCATAGCTAAGTGAGATGAAAACACTGTAAACATGGATTTAGCAACATAATTTTGATAATTTTGACAGTTTTATTCGCTGTCAGAATGGTTTATTTATTTTCATCTATCTTATATTAGGCCAACGAAGATTTTTTTTTTACAGCAATCTTCGTTATGGGAAGGGAATCGAGAGTTTTTCCCGCACTTCTGATATTCGTCACACTGTGACAGGATTTCATTTTGATATCCTTTCACACTGTGACAGGATATCATTTTTATTCAATGAATAAATTATAGTATTTCACGGGTAAAAATGTAATAAAAGGTAGCATTCCTCCTCGTAACTAATGTAAATAGGCAATTAACATCTTCCTTTGAAGCCTAAATATCCTTGTTGAGATTCAATGATTTGACATATATTCTCAGAAAATCCTCACTACATTCATTTACCATCTAAAAATCAGCTTGTCGTTTATGATGCGGCTGTGGCTCTATAACAAGGGGGTGGGGTCTTACTCTGAGAAAGAAGGAGGGGGAAGTTTGGCTCTGGTGTGAGATTTCCCCTTGGAGGAAAATCCTACTCTAGAGTACAATTAATTTCCTGGGGAAATTCAAAAGCTGGATATGGGGGTAATTCTTCTCTACAACTAGAAATGTTCACAGATTTGTATTATTTTGTGTTTTTTTATTGTGCATGATCGATCACTGTTGGTTATCTTCACCCTTTTTCATACAAATGAAATCATGTGACAGGTTATTGAAGTGGAAAACCTTTAATTGTATATAAGAATGTCGTGACTAACAAAATCAAAATCCTAATAAAAAATCCAAATCATAGTTTTGCTTCTGAGATTGCCTTCTTGACAAAACAGCTATGGTGAATTTCTCTGAATCCAGATTATGTTTTTTGAATTAAATCTGTATCAAAAGTTGATGTTTAATATAATCTATCATTTGGTTTGCTATATGTTTTTAATTAGTTTAGAGAATGTTGGATACAAAGCCTAAAATATCAAGAAGATATTTGTATTTTGTTTATCAAATAGATGACAGTTTCATGTATTTGAATTCCCAGAACGTAAAAATCTTTTAACCATTCAAAATCCAGTTATGTTACTTTCTGAGAGTGACTTTTTTTTTCTTTCTGAATTATTTTGAGGATTATCTTAATAGGGCTATTGCTTAGTGCCCATTCATTCATTCAATAACGAAACCATTTGACATTAAATATATTTAACCTAAATATTTTTTTTGCAGTTATCTCTCATATCAGAGGGGTATTGCACCTTTTAATATTTAAGTTGTAAAGTTTAAAACTTGACATTATAAAATTCTTTAAATGAACTCTAAAAATTGCAAAGCAAACCAAGCATTAAGCTTCCTTGTTGAAGGAAAACAACTTACAACGTAAACAACATGGCTAACATCATTTTAAAAGTGAGTTATCAACGTGTGCTGTTATCCTATGTATACCTTTGATTGAATTTTTCTCCAAATTTAGAGGCATTGATTATTGACAAAATGTGAATGTTTTGAAAGAAATAATTTCGTTTTTATGTCATAATGAAGTATGAATTCATGTACAACTCGACGTACATTCCACTGGTTAGCATTAACTTATAATAATACTACCTCAAATGTTAATATTGCGGTAGAATTCGTATCGGGTATATGAAGTGCGTTTACATGATAAAAATAGACACACAGATGGTTTTCATTTTAAAAAATATTTTATGGTTATTATAACACAGTTTTTGACCGTAACTTACACTACTTTTGTTTTTTAAAATGATTGCAATGCGTCAATTTCCAGTGATATGTTCAGGGAATTTCACCCACCAAATAAGTATATAACGAGCTTGTAGATCCGCTCCCGAAAATCATTTTTCTACGCAGTTCAGATATCGGCATTTAAATTAGTTCGAAGAATATATACAAAATGCCCAAGCTCATGACTTATGGATTGTGTAACCGCCCAACCTTCTGAAAATTTTATTAGGTACTGATAAAAAAGTGACAGCTTAGCCCTTATATTGTATATAGATATATATTGTTAAGGTTCAATTTCTAGAACTTTAAAAAGAAAAAGAAACCATGAGTCGCGTGCCCGTGCATAGAAGCTCAATTTTGCCACAAAAATTGAAATATTAAAAGAAATGAATGACTTTTAGAAGAGCCAAAATCATGGAGATGTAAAATAAGATTAAACATGAAAATTCAGCTTTAAATACCTCCCAACATTCAGGACGTTCTCTAAATTCTTATTTGAAAGGTGTGCAGTACTGCAGTATGCAAGACAGGAAGCAAAAACCCTCCACTAGAAAGTACGGTATACTGAAATGTTTGTACAAACCACCCAATCTAAATAAAAATATTTTATTTACATTATCATCTATCAAATAATGAAAAAAAAAAATTGACATTTACACTTGCAATTCACAGCCACTTAAAATGTCATTTCCCCCTTATCTTGAAAACTTGAAAAAAAAAAAAAAAAATATATATATATATATATATATATATATATATATATATATATATATATATATATATATATATATATATATATATATACCCCTTATGTAAGACGTAGCCTTCTTTGTTTTCGCAATGACCCTTGAGATAACAATGTGCCACAATGGTCCTGTACGCCCTATATTAAAATAAGGAAAATGCATATAGCTATAAAAATCGCTGCATTGATTTTTTCACATTCTTGATATGACAGGGATGGAAAGAAAGAATATAATGTTCTTAATTTAAAAATTTTATCTTTCCAACAGCTACAAGATTCAAAAGAGTAAAAGGCAAAAATGCTTTAACAATTTTTAAAAACATTAAGTTAAAACTATACAAAATATTGTCTATACTTTTCATGAGGTTAGCGAATATGCCAAAGTTTCTACATGTATAAAGAAATATCAGGGTCGAATCCTGATATTCGACTTCAGAGGCAGGAGTCTAAAGTTTTGTCACTAAGTCCAATGTAGGTGCAGGTCAAACACTCAGTTCTAATGATTTTAATAGTGAAATTGAGCCTTTTTATAAGCCTTTATTTATTTATTTATAATAGTTACACACTTTCCATCATGCATTTTTAGTATCATAAGGTATAATTAAAAAAAAGAGAGCAAATGCTCTCAACAGAAATGTTCCCATGCATTTTGCTCTTTAATGAGGTTTGATTTGAGTCCATTTAAATAATTCTAATATTTATAAGCTTCCCTGTCTCTATAATCATATACATATCCCCTTTCAACTCTAGGTGTGTTATAACAACCCTTTTCTCATTTTGGATATATACATTAGACAAATTTCCAATAAGAGAAAATATTAAAACTGTGAATCTTTAGATTTTTTTTAAAATGAAAAACTGATGACAGATCTGTATCGTGGAAATATATGATAACACCAAAGATACATGAGAAAAGCGGATTCAAGTAAATTTTCTACCAATTCTCTTGCTCTACTCCTCACTAAATTTTTAACGGCAGTGAAGGAGAGTTTAACAGAAGTGAAGGAGAAACTGTGCAACAATGTATTCCAGAAGTGGGTGTTAATCAGATGTAGATATTTCAAAATTCCAAGGAACTTTTGAAAAATTTGAAATCACAACAGAAAGCAACATGATGAGCAAAAGCAACATCATAAGAAAATTAGACTTTTCAACTTTATATACAACCATTCCTTACGATGAATTAAAGTCCAAGGTTTTTGATATCATTGACAACTGTTTTTTTTTCAATAAAACTGAAACTCGTTGATTAACTTAACTTGTCATTAGTCATTTGCAAAATTAAATAATTAAAACATTCTGATTGCACACAGAAGTACTCTGAAGTTGATATTAAAAATAGTTGATAAACGTGATGACTTTAACTTTTCTATCGTCTACTTCCCTTACATATAAATTAAAGTTCAGGGATTTTGATCTCACCAGAGACATAATAAATTATTATGTCTCTGATCTCATAGACAAATTTTTTTTCCCATAAAAATTAAACTTCTAAATATTTCTGTACTGACTGAACTCACGAGCATACTTTTAATTTGATATTAAAAAGAAAATTCAGGAATTGTTCTTGATTGACAATATTTATGTAGTTTTTAAAGATAAGTTTTTCTAACAATTTTTAGGTATTCCCAAAGGTACTAAATCCCCCCTTTTTTTTGCAGTTTTCGGTTATTCATTTGATGTACTAGAAAAAAGACATTCATAGTAACCTAACAACAAAGGTTTATCATAAACGCGATAACTTCAATTTTTCAATCGTCAACTTACGTTTACTTACATGAATTCAGCAATATACCCTTATCGCCTGCTTATGTGGTTTATGTCTCTCGGTTGATTCGTTATGCAAGAGCATGTTTCCCATATTTTGTTTCTTACAGATAATTCACAATTAATATCTCTAAAGCTTAAAAAATATAAGGAATAAAAATTAATAAAAAATTATATTTCATTAGATACTATCCTGGATTTGTGTAATCACCACAATTGAAGCAGCTTCTCTTGGAGAATTTTGTAATGGCACCATGATATGTGACTATACTGGAGGACTGTGTATTGCCTCGAACTGTGGATGTGACACAGGGTATGGGGAATATAATGGAGAGTGCAAATCAAGTATGTCTAGCTTAATTAAGATCAAGACACATATGTATTAAAGATGTGTATCTATGTAACAGTTAAATATTACGTGCACATGATGCAGGCTAGGTCACTGTCAATTTGAATTTTATCACAATGTTAGTATTACTGTGTACATATATTTTACTTGCACAAGTAAAAATAAGGTTGTTTCCATTTCTTCGTAAAATTGGCAATATTAAAGTTTAAATGAAACAAAGAAACACCATATCACAATTGCCAAAGCTACAAGGTTTGGTGTTTCATTGGATGTTAAAGATACAAAAGTTGTTACTGAATAATTTTGTTAATACAGTACAAAGACATTAAGATTTCTTGCTCAAAACGTTCATTTAGCATCTGTTTTATAAAGCCTTGCCAACGAAAAATTTTAAATTAAATCTACACAGGGAAAAGTGGCTCACATGATATTCATGCTTATCTTTTCATTTTAAAATTATATTGAAAATTGTAACAATTAATGGGTTTGTGTATTCCAATTATGCAAGTCGGCCTTTGAGGATCTGTGATTGGCTGAAGCAAATCACATGACCTAAAACAAAGCTATATACGCGAGCGCAGCTAAGCTGTGATGTTCCTTTAAGTCCGATTGCCAGACGGATGAAGACGCACATTTAGGCGATATGTTAGTTGGATGGGTGGCCTAGTACTACTGAGGCTCGCCACAATTATTTGGCAGTACTAGGTGGATTGCCTATTAGCGAAGGCTGTCACAATAAATTAGTAGTATTGGTGTGTGACTAACCATTTAGAGGCCGACCATAGAGGGAAGTCAACCCTCAAAGGTTTGCCTGGTAACCTTTTTAGTGTAAGTCTCTGATAGCATTGGATGACTGTACGTCCTGAATAAGGACAATTCAGTATCCTCTGTTGTCAGAGACTGACCATTAGTAGTAGGTTAATATCGTGACAGACTCTACGAGCCTGAATAAGGCCGGAATTAAAAATATCTTTGTTTCCCCTAACCCGACCCTAAATTCTCAAGTTGGGTTGGTAGGTAGGTAAACAATTTTATTTTCTGACAGCAGCTTTGAAAATACATTCTAAAATTTAATGGAAAATTACCCTTACAAATAAGAAAAGTACAAAAGAAAGCGATTTGTGACCAAAATGCTAATTAAGTATCGTACACATGCCCTTTACAAGCAGAATTCATGATTAATTAATTCACAACTGTTATCTAATTGAATTTTTGAAATATCTCATGCAATTACATTTATATAGATTGAATAAAATAGACAAGATTCTCAAATACGCAAAGACCAGACATACGAGTATATATTTTTTCAAACCTTCCATCAGCCTTCAGAGCTTATAGACGATCAATGTACTTTTTTGAGGGCCATGAGATTTGCAGTGGTTCTGGAGCATTTTGCTTTGGAGTTAAGAAGTAAGTGGCTAATTTTAAATCAAAAGTTCAAATCCCAATGAGTAACGTTGAAAACGGTCCTTCAAAGGGGACCATAAAACTTATGTTAGTGTCGCAGAAGATGCTGGCTCAAAAAAGATCCCCCACTGCTTAATGGCAAAAAGTGCTGAGTACGTCTGGATTTGGAGCAATTGGGAAATGTTTAAATGTCGTCCGAACAAATCTCGAAGGGATTCAATCTTCGAGGGCCTAATTAAAGAAAAATACACTGGACGTCTCAGGAAGCTGAATCATGATTTCAAAAGAAATTGGAAAGAGTATGTTAACAATATTTAATTGAAAGAATCTACAAATGATAAAAATGCTATATACAATGTCATAGTCACGAAGTTTAATCACTAAATAAAGGCATGAAGAAAGGACATCTGAATTATATTTATCAGGATGAATATGCAGACATATTTACTACAACTCCTATGGTACAGTAATGACATATACGAGTAGTAAACATAGGAACATAGATGAACTGGTTATTAGATCAAAACTCAAATTAAATAAAATGCAGTGAAATTGAATGATGTTTTAACTAGGTGGGCCCTCATCTACTCTTGAAGCGGGCCTTACCATGTATTACGTACCTTAAATTCACGGACAGGTTTGTTTGTTTGTTGTTTAATGTCCCTTTCGAAAGTATATGCACTCACATGGAGACGCCAAGACACCTCCAAAACACTTAAAATTAGTCATGGTAAATTTTATTATCGAATTGTTTCAAGAGTGAAGAATTCCAATTAGCTAAAAGCATAAGATTGAGACGTTGCCATTGTTTTATTAAGAGCTAATGCCCTGTAATCAAATCTGGACGTCATTTTGTATCCAACAAATGCCTGAAAATCACAGTAGAACAATGTCGGCCGTTCTGATAAAAACTAAATTTGATGAAATTATAATACAATTTTACAAATGTGTTACATTTGAATGTGTGTGGGTGGACTCAGGCTAATAATGCATTAAGATCTGAAATAATAAAACATTTAAACTGTGATATTATTAGTCTAAATGAAACTCACTTATTAGACAAAGATGTTATTGACTTGAAAGACTATGGATATATATGGATAGGTTTTAATCGTACACAAACTCATATCCAGGCCCCGAAGGGATCGGGCGGTGTCGGCATTTTAACTAAATCCAGCTTGTACAAAACTTACAATGTTGAAATAATTGACCAATCATACGAGGGAATATTGGGTGTGAAATATTCAAATAAAGTCACAGACTTCACGTTCATTGTGTATTCTTTGTATTTGCTCCCTGAGAACTCGCCCTGGGGTCGCAACGCCTCATCCTTTTTCTCGCATCTTTTGACACAAGTATATCTGCACTGTGAAGCCGATGCTATTATTTTATGTGGGGATTTGAACGCTCGTATTGGAAATACCCAAGAAACTAATGACTGTTTCGATAAGATTCCTTCTCGTCAATCTATTGATAAAACTCAAAATCAACATGGTAAATCACTTTTAGAATTCTTAAACGATAGTCGATGTTGTATTTTGAATGGTCGTTTTGGTGACGAATCTAAGGAATGTACGTTTTATTCAACCCGTGGACACTCAGTTGTAGACTATATCTGCATTCCGCATGAAAACTTCTCACTGTGTCAGAATTTCCAAATTATGAAGTGCAATGACGTAGTCGAAAAATACAATCTTGTTAACTTTTTGGGAGAAAGGAGTAAAGTTCCGGACCATAATGCATTACTTTTTGATTTGAAAGTTTATTCAGAATTAACTTCTGGAAATGAACGAAATGAACAAAGCAAAAAAACGATTTAATTTTAGACGAATCCCTACCGACTTCATGAGGTCACCTACTGTACTTACAGCAATAAACTCTTTAATCGAACAGATCGAGCGTTGTCGTGAAACCCAAAACCAAGTTGACAATATATACAGAGAATTCCGAGATATTTTGTCTCGTGAGATGTCGGAGAAAATTCCTATACACGACTGTTCAAAATATACGAGGAAACGTCTCCGTCCGTACAAGCCTTACTGGAATGACAAACTGACGGAATTATGGAGGCACATGCGAGAAATGGAAAAAAAAGTTTTTAAAGTGTGACCCAACAAAAAGGCGGTTAAAACAAACACATAGACAAGGCTACAAAGAATCACAAAATGCTCTGGATAAGCGAATTCGTTTTTATGAAAGAAAACACAAAAAAGATTTGGCCTTAAATATTGAATCAGTGTGTTCAAATAATCCGAAACAATTCTGGGATCAAATTAAAAAACTGGGTCCTCAACGTAAAATAAAGTATCCGAGTGAATGTTATAACGTTGAAGGGGAGGTTACTTCTAATATCGACACATTGAAATATACTTGGGAAGAGGAGTTTCGTCATTTATATAACCATGAAAATGATGACAAATTTGACGATGATCTTAAACCCAACGCTGTAAAGCATAAAGAACACATGGAACGTAATATGCTCGATCCTCTTTACGTACAGAACGCCTATCTCAACAGCCAAATTACAGAGGATGAAGTTCAAAAAGTTGTAATGAAATCTAAATCAGGAAAATCGTGTGGTATACACGAGCTTCCGTATGAGGTACTTAAGTCGGACACAGTTATAAAAATTCTCCATAAGATGTTTATGTTGTACTTTGATACAGGAATTATTCCTTCAATATGGCGTAAAGCAATAATTTGTCCGTTACTAAAGGACCCATCCTCAGACCCTCTGCTTCCACTGAATTATAGAGGAATAAGCCTTCTCTCTGTTGTAACTAAAATTTACAGCTCTATTCTGAACAAAAGGCTGGTGACTTTAATTGACGATAACGATCTTTTAGTCGATGAGCAAAACGTATTCCGGTGTGAAAGATCTTGCTTAGATCATGTATTCACCCTAAATAGTATAATCAAAAACAGAAATTCTACGTTTGTTACTTTTATTGATTTAAAAAAGTTGGAATACAGATTACTTATAAATGGAGTGGACGGGCATTTCTATCAAGCGGTGAAATCTTTATATCAGAAAACCGAGTCTTGTGTTCCTTTGGGTAACCATTACACCAACTGGTTTGGATGTACGTCAGGAGTTAGACAGGGAGGTAATCTCTCCCCAACGTTGTTCGCTCTGTTCATCAACGATCTCGCTATACAAGTAAAAAACTTAAACAATGGAATTGAATTTGGTGCCAACAAATTAAACATCCATTTATACGCAGATGATATAGCGTTGATTGCGCAGAACGAGGCTGACATGGACGCACTTCTTGAGGTTGTCTCCAACTGGTGCAAGAAATGGAGATTGTGTATAAACCCGACAAAACCCGTAAACCCGTAAAAAACAGCGAAAAAGAAGTGACCATTTATTTACCTTAGGAGAAGATCATATTGAGTATTCATCATCTTATAAGTATCTTGGTGTTTTGTTTGACGAATTTACCACATTTAAGAACAACTCAGATAATCTTGCAAAATCGGGCGGACGCGCACTAGGAGCTATTACAGTGTGTACATACAAAATACATTCGAATAAATCAATAGGATTCAAAACATATGAGTAAATGTATCTGAGCGGAGTCGCACC